GCCCTTGATGGGGAGCGGCCGAGAGCAAAGCCAGCATCCGGATGACAATGTGGGTCAAGCCAGAGCACGTCTGCTCTAGGGTAGAGACGTCTCTTTAATAGCTGACTCCGGATTAGTTCCCTGTTTTCGCTTCCACATTGTGGCTTATTGCACCCGGTGCATCAGGACTGATCTGAGGTCAGGCTCCAGGGTTCTCCTTGGCAAGTCCTCGGTGGGGGCTGAACGCAGTTATAGACGAGCCAAGGGACCGAGGGAGTACAGAGGAGTGCAGCATCTCTGCCTTCTTTTCTCACTCCTTCGTTTATTCGTTTCTCTCCTCTGTTGTTAGCAAAAACGCCTGCTATCTATAACGCAGCTCTTTGACTTTACCGGATTGAATTGCACACACCTGCAATGCCTCAGCAACAAACTGCATGTCTGTATTGTTTTTGAAGGATTGCACACTTGCTCCTTTGTCTGTTTTACTTCCTGCCCAAACTAAAATAAGCAGGGGAAGTGTGTCATTCTGCTCCATCAGCATCAACAATTGTAAATAATAATACTATCGCGGTTTTCTGAGATGATTTGAAAGATGTCAGATCTTCTAATCGTGATAACTGATCTCTGGCTAATTTGGTTCTTCAAACGAATTTGCGGATTTGATTAAAATATCTTTACTAAATTGTCTAAGATTACTGCGCGTTCTCGTGTTCCCCGAAAAGGGCAGATGTATCGATACTCAAAACCACGATCAGCAATGCAGAGATTGGCTGGCGGCAAGACAGCAACGTAATGACATAATATCATTAAACAAAAAAAGTGCTGTCAAACGATTAATCGCGATTAATCGGATCCAAAATAACGTTTTGTTGACGGTGGGCGGAGAAAGCTGTCCTGACACACAGACACGCGCAGATGGCGCGGCAACTCTGCCTTCAATCTGTCTCCTTAAGAAGAAACTTAAAGTTCATCTGCAGGTCTTAATCGAGGACACGCAGATCTGACGCTTCCGTGTGAACGCTCGGTTATTTGAATGTGTTATGACAGAAAGAGGCTACGCGAGGACAGAACAACAGCTTGTGTGTGTGTGTGTGTGTGTGTGTGTGTTTACTATCCTTCATCACACCGACACCAGCAGCAACACCTGCTGGACAAACTGTGCAAATTATTCCTTACAGAAAAAAAAGGCTTGTTTTTATTTATTTATTTTTAATTGTTTTTATAAGCAGTCTTTAAATTTTGTTTTGTAGCATTTTTTATCCAAGGGATGGAGCACTTATATTGTAACATTAAACAAACAAACTAATAAATAAATTTAAAAAAAAAATATTTTAAAAAATGTATAAATGTAAATATAATAGTGTTGTTTTTTATTTTTATTTTATCATGGGTGTTTCTTTAACTTCGGGCACTATAACGTTCCTGTGGTTTTTATTAAAATTCAGATTTCAGTTCTTTGTTGTAAAGATCACATTAAAATTTTTTCCATGCCATCATTTATAAATTTTTTTACTTTTAAAATGCACAAAATTATTGTATGTAAATATTTCATTGTTTTGTATGTGTGTGTGTGTATTCATTTTATATATATATATATTGTATACATGTGTGTATATATTCAGTTATATATATATATACTGTATGTATAATTTATGTATATGTATAATAATGAAAAAAAAGTGAAAAAATGACTAATGTCCCTTTAGTTAGTTAGTTAATTTCCCACACAGAGTTCCAATTAATAATACATAATTGGGTTCTATCATAAAATAGTTCAAATAAACAAGAAAATTAAAAGCATATCTCTCCCTAACAAGCCATACGATGTAAGATTTAGATTATTTTAACAATTAGGATTATAAATAGGCTAGATGTGTATTAAAAGTGAGGAAGAGATGTTTAGTGAGTGGTAGCAGCATCAGTGAGCAGGTAGCTGAGATAATACAGCAGTCACACACACAGTCCTGTCAGCAGGCCAGCTAAACAGCAGTCCCTCGGGACCGAGGCTAATCACTTCTGCTTCAGACTGAGAGAGGCTGGTGTGTGTGTGTGTGTGTGTGAGAGAGAGAGATGAGGGTGGCAGGGGTCTTGTTAATGCTAAATGTCTGATGTGGGTTCACAGCAGGTGTCAAAGGCCTGATTTGCTGCACACAAACAGGGAAGTCTCCATGAGCCCCAGTCTCCATGGGTTCACTCTCCATTACGTCACAGAGCCTGCAGCACGTCACTGGACAGAACATACAAGATCCAACCCACAAGTTGTGCATGTGATATATGTGTTGTAAAACACTGAAAAAAAGTGGTTGTATTCCAAGCAATACTTTCAACATTAAATCTAGTCCTGTGTCCCTGTATCACACTATTGCAAAGTAATTGGTTTTAAATTAGAAGTACAAAAAGTTTTATAAAAATTTATTAAATATAATAAATTATGTATAAAAAAAATCCAATATAAAAACTTAGTATTTTATATAATGTATATTTATTTTTATATTATAGATTATAAATATATGCTTTAAACATCTTAACAGTCCTAGACCATGGGGGAAAAAAAAACAAAAAAAACAAGTATACACTTTGTATTTTACATATACACAGTAAATATATTATATATAAATTATATAAAATATAAAGTGTGTATATTAGATTTTTTTCAAAGTCTGGGGCTTATATATATAAAAAAAATCCAATACACACTTCATATATTGTATATATTTTTCATACTGTATTTTTTAAATACATATTTTATTATTTCCAAATCCAGTGTGATTTGTCAGGACAAATTTCTGTGACATCTGTTAGGCAGTGGGGATATTTTATGAGTGGTATTCCAAGAAAATGTAATAACATGAATAATAATGTAAGCCTCTTATTTTATCTCATTTAAGTCCTTCATGCTTTTATTGTGGCCAGCCTAAGGCACACCTGTGCAATAGTCATGCTGTCTAATCAGCATCTTGATATGCCACACCTGTGAGGTGGATGGATTATCTCGGCAAAGGAGAAGTGCTCACTAACACAGACTTAGACAGATTTGTGAACAATATTTGAGAGAAATAGGCCTTTTGTGTACATAGAAAAAGTCTTAGATCTTTGAATTCAGCTCATGAAAAATGGGGGCAAAAACAAAAGTGTTGCGTTTATAATTTTGTTCAGTGTAATATACTTTTTACATGTAATATACTGTATAGGTCACACACATGCTCAGCATGATGTTATATGGCCCTGTTCTGCACTCTCTAATAATACAGCTGTCTCACTGACAGATATTGATTTATTACATTGGAAGTTCAAGAAAGGCTTTTAATGAACAAAACTACCAGAGAGAGGCTGAAAAATATGGTGAAGGAAGCAGTTTCCACTTCATATCAAATAAACTACACATATATAGAAACCACATGAAATCATGTGATTTACTGTATGTTCTGTGTTGATGTATTTAATGGACGGGACCTAATAAAGAGCTTCTCTTTTTTTTCTTTCATTCTTTCTAATAGTCTTTAACTTATGTCACAACCACAAACCATGTTTCTTTTTCCCAGAAGAGAAATAGTGTGCATTTGTGTGCAAAAAGGTATTTTTTAAAGAATTTATAGATGTGCACAAGCATTTAGATGGCCTTGATATGTGACTCTGGCAGAGAAACACAGTACACATGTCAGGATGGGAGAGACAGAGACATGCCAACAAAAACTCCTCAAGCTGATGTGCCTCAGCAGATCCTTTTTAATCAAGTCCATGAGAGAGAGAGAGAACGAGAGAGACAGAATGCAGCTGCTAGTTTCATTTACTGGCACTTAAAATACTCTGCACTGGTAGATTACCATTTATTAAAAAGTAATAAAAAAGATTTTATTCTGCTCACATGCATTAAATTGACATTATATTTAAGTATTATCAAAATGGCAAACCAAAGTATAGCAATCAAAATTACTAGACAGAAGTGTGTAAAAAAAAAAAAAAGTAATGTAAGATTTTTTAAAAATATTTTTTAATGAAGTCTCTTAATACTTAAGACTGTGAAGTCTCACCAAGTCTGCATTTATTTGATAAAAAAATACAGTAAAATCAGTAATATTGTGAAATATTTTTTACAATTTATAATAACCATTTTCTATTTTATTATTAATTTAAAATATAATTTATTCTTGTGATGGCAAAAATGAATTTTAAGCAGCCATTACTCCAGTTTTCAGTGTCAGGAACCTTCAGAAATCATTCCAATAAGCTGATTTGCTGATCAAGAAATGTTTCTTATTATTATATGTTGTGTTGAAAACAGTTGTGCTGCTTAATACTTCTGTGGAAACGGCAAAACAATGTTTTTGTTCAGGATTTTTTTGATGAATTGAAAGTTTAAAAAGAACAGCATTTATTGGAAAGATAAATCTTTAGTAACAAAATATTAATATCTTTACTCCCATTTTTGACCAATTTACTGCATCCTTAATAAAATCAATTTAAAAAAGAGTGGTCAACTGTATAAAACGTGCCATGATTCTTATAACTTTGAGAGAGTTAATAAACATACCTTTAATGCAACATTCAGTTACATAACGCAGCTTAAGGTTTATTTTAAGCAAGTCTGATGCTTTGGACACAGAATGTGCTTTGAGCCGAGATTAAGATCAGAGATCACGACACAAGATCCACCTCATCTGAAACAAATACATCAAAATTAGTTAATGTTAAACTGATACAAATCTCAATGTGCCTTTTACCTCACATTTCTGTAGCATTTAGCCACCTAGTTTTAATACCGAACCTCTCATAAGAACACTCTCTATTCTATCTACTTTTTACTTATTATATACACAAAACACTTTCTATGTGTACTGCGTTATACTAAAAGGGACTGGTCACAGCACTTAGATATTGTTGCTCTTTTTTGGTTTGATTGCTTCTATTGTCCTCATTTGTAAGTCGCTTTGGATAAAAGTGTCTGCTAACTGATTAGATATAAATGAATCAAATAAATTGCACTGTATAGACGGATTCGTAAGAGCGCAGGAGTCGATCAATGAATTGATATAGGTATTTATTTGCAGTCAGGAGGCATAGATGAAACAAGACGACAACTCTGAAAGACACTGAGGAGTCTATGACCAACAAAAAAATATATGGGTTAGAGACAAACACAAAAATGAGAGAAAAAAAAAAAAAAGCAAACTCAAAGGCAGATCCCTCCGTTCTAAAGAGAACCTCACTAGGATACATCTCTGATAAACACACCAGCTCACCCTTCTATATAAAAGAGCTCTGTAATATTAGACAGAGATGAAGATATATTTCAGAATGTCTTTGAAAGGACTAAGATGAGCTTGTAAAAGATTTTGAAGCACTGAGGGGGAAAAAACAACAACAACAACCTTCACCTCACCCAAACATCATATGTAGATTCAACAAAGCACACTAGCTTGACATCATTTTTTAAATGTTTAATTCTGTACATGTAATAAATGTGATGACAAGGTATTCAGTGTTGATTGCTTTTAAGGTCACAATTCCACATGTGCTTGACTTCACTCGCTTGGAAAACCGGTTAAAAATGGTCAGTTTCTAAATGAGTCCCGCACTCCACTCTCAGCACAGGCTTCCATTGCACAAAGATTAATACACTAGAGCAGAGAGACGCCACCCGCTCCTTTAACAGATTTAGAACATAATATTAAATCATATCTGATACATTAACAAGCTCATGTAGTATACAGGTTTCTAACAGACCATACAGTAAAGAAAAAGAGAATTGAATAGGGAACTGAATGAATGCCTGAATGCTTCTGTAATATATGCCCAATTACTGAACCATCTATAGGGTTTTGACAACTCCCATCCTCCTGAGAGGCTCATCTGAAATTCAACTCCCTGTCCGGGCATCCATAGGGATCCATATTCTCCATCAGGATGCAGAAACGTCACTAGTATCACATCAATTGTAGGCATATCTGCTTCTTATAGAGAATGAGGGTGGTAGCAAGGAGAAAAAGAAGCGCAACATTCGGCTCAGGCTCTTGAACAGCTTTCCCTCTTTCTTTTAAAGATATGTTGATGCATAGACTTTTATTTCTAATGTTTTTTTTTCAGAGTAAAAGACATTTTGAACGATTAACAGCACACTTCAAACTCCCATAGAGTCTATTAGGTTTTTTGCACACTTTAAAAAGGTGAAAACGACAAATTAGACAAGATAAACAGAATAACGAATGAAAAAATAGAGACAGTATCAGTAATGCCAAGGTTGAGAGAGAGAGAGAGAGAGAGAGAGAATCAAAGAGAAACAGAACATAAGCAGAAAAATACAAATAATTGGATAGACATGAATCTAACTTGTTCTAAAACATCTTTCTATTCATATTGGAATAAGATGAGGGATTTTATTTCACTGTATTCCGAGTAGGTCTAGATTAATTTCTAATGCGGTTATTTTTCTGTCCTTCAGTACCTAGAGACCATTAATCAGTGCTAGTGTTTCTCACAGAACACCTAGTACAATCAACATCGACGTTCACATTCAAGCACACTCTAAAACCCGGTAGCTGTTTTGTTCTGAAGAAACGGTTTAAGCTCTATTTGAGGCTTCGCAACCTGATCAGCTGTAGAGCAGTAACAACAGCATATCTCCTCCTCTATCAAACACACGCACACACAAAGTCTCAAGAGCCTGTCATCGAAAGAGAGGAGAAATTCGGGTCAAAACTCCCACCACTAAAACCAAAAGAACACCGTTATCTGACAGAGCAACATTTCCTTTACAAGGTGGCTTCTTCCTCAAGAGTCACGTGGATGAGATTATACTTGAGGTAAAGAAGATGATGGGCAAAGGGATTTTGTTTATTATGTTAAATAAAAAGTTAAAGCGCTTCTGAGTACAGAGCCAAGGGAGGAGAAGGGGGGACCTGATGCTCCTAGCTCAGGAGCTGACGAATCTCCTTGTGCATGTGACACAGGAAATCCACGTAAGAGGCCCCACCATTGTTGCTCTTATCCTCCACAAGGAAGTGCTTGAAGATCAGCTCCAGCTTGTCTTCTTGTTTCACCACCATGAGCTGAAAGACAACGATTATTTACATTTAAAAGTACTTAAAAGTAGTGAAATTCCAAATATAAATAAAAAATACATAAAATTCAATAAAAAGTCTAACAACAACTAAATGAATAAATAACAAAAAATACAAATAAAAATATAATTAAAAAGTAAGTTTTTTTGTTTTTTAATGAGGACTCAAGTATCACCCTATAATCATGAGTGACGAATAATTACAGACGAACATTAATCTGGACAGAAAACTACTTCCTTTTTCCCCTCAGTCTAGGTCATGCATAATTCCTGGATTATCTTGACTTCCTGATGCTCGTTTCATTTGCTAATAATTTTATTGTACGGAGATAAAAAAAAAAAAAAAGTTCAACACAAGTGACCTAAGCTTTCAGAAAAATAAACATTCTTTTCAGCTGTCTGAATCACAAATTTCTGCAAAAACATAATATCAAGCCCTGTGATGTATTTACCTTCATGTATCGTGAGCGCTGCGCTCTGACGGACTCGATAATCTCCCTTAGTCTCTTTGAAAAAGGATTATCCAAAGCCGGCAGAGAGGTCTAAATCAGCAAAACACACAATAAAAATGGCAAATGTTCACATCATATTTTTTAAAAACAACATGCAAAAACATGTCAAGCATCCAAGGTAAAGGATTCAAGTTTCATATGTGCTCATAAGTAATACTCGAGCTATATAACTGCTTCTGTATGAGATAAAAATCAAATAATTTATTTACATATATGCATATTTATAAGGAGTCGTACCATGCTGGGGTCTATCTGGCTGAAGGCCGGCGTGCCAAAGATGTTCTGAAGCAGCTCCTGTTGGGCATTGACCCCAACCCAAAGGAAAATGTTCAGTCCGTTCTCTAACAGGTACACTCCTCCCCTAGACAGTCTCTCCTCTGAGTCTCTCACTGACACAGGCAGAGTCATGCTCTCAACATCCAGCTTTTGCTGTAGAGAATGTACAGTAACTGTCACAGCTCAATTACAAAATCAAATGGGCTGATATTACTGTGTTTGTGTCTCACCAGCGGAAGCAGACGAGGGTAGAAGAACACATGGCTCTCGGCCACATCCATAGTGCTGACCAGCTGTCTCAGGTAGGCACGGTCATCCAGGGAGACATCCGCCCCTGGCTGCAGAACGTCACTCTTTAACATGCAGTTCAGGTACACGGGCAGCAGCTTCATACATTCTGGTAAAATCAACTGTACTCAGACAAATAGATAAGAAAATATCAGCACAATGTAGGATATGACAAATACTGAAGATATTTAATCATTAAAAAACAGGATTTGTGTGTTTTTGAGTGGGGTTATGGCATTATGATTTTCTGTAGTTACCTGCCCTGCTGAAGATGGACTGGCACAGTTCTTGCGGTAACAGGCTAAGATCTGTGCACACTGATTCATCAGACTATCACGGACATTCTTGGTAGGACTGCTGAGTACACTCCGATATGCTGTAAACACATAAAACAACAATCCTTAAACTCAAATCAGGTCCCAGAACACATCATTAAAAAGTAATCTTTCTGTCTTTGAAACTTTTACATGAAAATGGCCTAGATTATGAGCCTCCACTGAGATGCTAAATAGGTAAGTGCTAATGGTTGTCAATCATTTTATTTATGGTTATGACAATTTATTGCTGATTTGCCTTTGCAAGCCATTTACATTTTGCAGCCATTACATTTTGTAGGAAGACTGGGGAGCTCTACTTTTTGAAAACCAAACAAAAACCAAACAAAGCCTAAAGCAAACCAAAACAATGATGCATAATTAAATGACGCAGAGAGACTATGAAGGGAGCTCTAGGTTTTGAAAAAGCAAACCAAAAGAAACAAAAACACCAAAACAAAAGCTGCTGAAAAACAAACAAACAAACAAACCCAAAGCAATAATATTGAATGCTGTACATAGATTGGGAGGGAGCTGTAGCTTTTGAAAACGAAATAAAAACTAAAACAAAACCAAAAGAACAAAAACAAATAACAAAATAAATAATATATCAAATAAATATCATAAATTTTTTTTTTTTTACATTGGTGTAACAGAGGTGACCCACAGAGTGCTAGTGCAGGAAGCAGTGAGGTGGTGTTTATCCGACGAGTGTGAGAGGATGCGTGTGGTTTCACTCACCATATTTGGCAAAGAAGTTGATGATGGTATCAGTCTCACAGTTCCTGTACAGGTCTGCCAGCTGAGAGCAGCAGTTCACTGCCATGTTATGGATCCGAAGTCGTCGCTGACCACTGCAGCTGGTGTACAGAACCGCACACTGAAAGAAGAGCGAGAGAACGAGAGTACAGACGAAAAGGTCAGCACAGCTGAAGTCATTAAATGAGACTGAAGTCAGTGTAGCTGATACTTCACATGTGTGTGCATTGTGCAAAAGTAGACACATACACACCTGCATTAGAGCTCCAGTCTCCTCGCTGAGCTTGTCATCATGTCTGAACTCCACGGTAACAGTCTTGTCACAGTCTAGTCCTGCCAGCTCTACATCGGTGGTGTTGCTCATGTAGAAGGAACCAAAGAAATCGGTCGCCCGGATACCTGCCACAGCACCGCACACAAGTTAAACTTATACACATTAAAAACTGATGATAAAAATGTCACATGGCTGATATGTCTTGGAGAGATGTGCAATAAAATAATAAAACACATTTTGTGCTGAACTGTTGTGGATTGAACAAGGCCATATCTTGGCTTTTGAAGTTGAACACCTCGGTTAAAATGAGTGGTGATTTACACTACAGTTCAAAAGTTGGAAATGTTAGTAAAAAATGTTTCTTGAGCACCAGATTTCTGAAGAATCATGTGACAACGAAGACTGAATTAACAATGCAGACTGAAAATTCAGCTTTGCATCACAGAAATAAATTATAAATAATTATAAATAAATTAAAATAGATAATAAATCTATTTTAATCAAATAAATGATCTAGCATAATAAACCTGTTTTTGAAACCGTTTTTTTAATCCCTTTAAATCAAACCAACCCTAAACTTTTGAACAGTAGTGTATAAATATTAGGGGTGTAACGATACACGCATTCGTATTGAACCGTTCAGTACGAAGCTTTCGTGCATTACAAACCGAACGATTTGATTCGTTGGACTAATCCTATTACATTTGGAAAATAAAACAGCTTAAAGTATGTGAAATATGATGTTCTCAGTGCCACTACGCTCAACAAGGCTGCCCAAAGGACGTAACGGGCAACGTGCTGGCTGCCCCGCGATAATCTCCTTTTGCTGGGGTGCGTCGAAAGACGATCTTGTATCGACGATAGCCAGAGATATAGTCAAAAACATCAATTGTTGGCAATATTAAGATGTTTGGCATTTCCAATTAATGTAGGCCTGTTACAATCTTATTTTTATTAGGTCTATTATTATGATTATGAAGTTACTTTTATTAGGCCTATTAAATTAAAATTACAATTAATTTGCCCCGCAATGATTACCAAATAACGGACGTGCTGCGAGGATAACAAAAGATTAGGCTATACATTTACTTCTCAATTAAAATGTTTTTATAAAAGGTATTTTAATACAGGTCAATTAGCTATTCAATGATTTATAGGCCTACAATTAAAATATTAATACTGCAGTCAACAATAAAAATCAATGAAATAAAAAGCTTTTATTTCAAGCACCGACTTTCAAAAACAACCTGTTTAACACAAAATATGTTTCTTCTAATTTTTTTCCACTATGTAATATTAGAAATATTAAGGGAATAAATTAAAACAGTTAGCTATGTACCGTTATCAGCATATTTTGAGGTAAATTCGTCTCGTCGTCTCTGAGAGAATATGCGGCGTCAGATGCTGAAAGCTCCGTCCTTCCGTTTTTACTTTCACTTTCTGTATAGTGAATTGACTGAGATTAAGATGTTCACCGGCATAATTTTGGGCAAAGTTTGCACGCTGCTTGTGCGTGATATCCACTGGCTCGCCTTCATGGTTTAAAACAAAAATATTTCCAACATTGCGACGTAACCAATTACCCCCGTACTGAACCGAACCATGACACCACTGTGTCATATCGAACCGAACCGTGAATTTTGTGAACCGTTATACTCCTAATAAATATATGTGGTAGGTAAATGGCAGGATGAAGAAAAATCAAGCAATAATTCAAAATCTGGTGTACAGAGCTGTGTATTCACCTGTGCTGGTACGGACCCTCATCACTGCATCAAAGCCCATCTGCTTCTGCACATCTCTCCTCAGGTCATTGAGAAAACGCTCCTGGTCAGATGGAGCCTGAAACAAACCATAGTGTCTATAATCACAGTGCATGTTGTTTTTGGTTAAGAAGATTTCTTTGGTCTGGTCACGTATGGTATTAATGACTAGATGGTACAGTTCTCTCATACCTGGAAGTAGGTGTATTTGTAAATGGAGCCGCCCGTTGAAATGGGGACCACCCCTAACGTTGCTACATCAACATACTGGTTGGGAAAGAGGAAGAGGTCCACACAGCAACCCTGTGCAACACACTCCTTGGCTAGAGTGTTGTAAAAACTAACTTGGGGCTGGAATAATGACTGCAAAAGAAATGGAGATGGGAACTTCACAATGTGCCGTATGGAGAGGATCCCTTAAAACTACCTAATAAATACCACATTAAAAAGCTTTCTGTAACAATGTTCCCATAGCTGTCAAAGTCTCAATGATGACAAAACATTTTCAGCTGCCGCTGTGCTTTCAACATTGCGTTTTTCAGAGACACACACAATGTAATGAGCAGTACAGATTTGAGAGGAAGAGGTCATGGTACCTTTTCTTTATCAGAGCCCACTAGTTTCTTATCCTCCCTGTTCTTCAGTTTGCCTGGAGCCTCAGCAATGGGAAGAGACGAGTGGAAAACAAAAAGCTTTCCAGCACAGTCTGCAGCCTAGATGACAAAGAAGAAATGTCACTGTTACTGAATAATTCCACTCCGAGCGGACACGAAACACTCAAACCAAAATAAAATGTAAAACCAAGTTTCTTCCATTAACACTGTATACAGAAATGCTCTATTTAATTACTACAAGGCTGGCATCATTTTCAATCACAATGCGTTGCAGGAATCATTATCATTCATATGATGTACACACACTATGAACTATGAAATTTGCCCTGATGCAGTAAGATCAAATACCTTGAGCGCTTCCAGCCCGGCCTGAATGACAGGCCCAAACACAGTTTCAGTTTCCCGGGTGTCTGCAAACATCTCGGGGATCTGATCCAACAAACTGGTGGCAACGTACATTTTCATAATCAATATGCTTTGATGGTCAAAGTTTCAGGCATCCTAGTTTTCACCCTAGCTTACATGGAAAAATTCCACTAAATTGTGAATGTTACAGTGTACTCACTACACATACAATACCATTCAAAATGATTTTTTAAAGAAATTGAAAACAGTTATTTTAAATTGCAATATAATTTCACTACATTACTGTACTTTTTTGAGGAAATAAATGCAGTCTTGGTGAACAAATATATTTTCAAAAAAATAAAAATAAATAATAAATAAATTCTTACCAACCCTAAACTTTTTAACAATAGTGTACAAAAACTGAAACCTACCTCTCAATAACCACCCTGGACTCTGAGACACTGACCAGAAATCCATCCAGTAGGGGCACAAACATGTCAGCCACATCTGACACTACCATCATCTGAGGCTGAGCAAGGGAGGCCTTCACATTATAGAAATGAAGCACTTTATTGTAGGTGACGAAGCCAACTCGAATGTTTGATTCCACATCAGGGTTCTCTCTGCATGGACCAATAAATAGGCAATATCACAATTACACATGCAATGTTTTGTTGTACATGCAAAAAAAAAATCTCTCTGCAGATATGAATGAATGTTCTGTGTTATCCTGATCGTACTGCTTCTCGTTTAAACTCTCACCTTGGCAAGTAATCCAACAGTGTCTTCAGCTCCTGACATACAATTCCCACCATGCCATTCTTCACAGCATTGTAGGACACGTCAATCAGGAAGATGAAGGCTGGTGGCTGAGGAAACTTGTTGTTCTGTCAATAAATCATATTTAAAATTAGCAATCCCATACATATCAGCACAGAATTTTCTTAAGATTGTAGTGGCATGATGGGAACATATACTGTACCTTACAGTAGTCCACAGTAGCCGTAAACTCATAACTGCCCATCGAGAGCTCTGGTCGGTCGTAGCAGTCCACCCTCTTTCCTGTGTGATCCAGATGCTGGAAGTAATGGGGAGGCACTAGGAGTGGGAAAGAAAAACAGAAACCAAAACATTAGATGTTGATTAGGATGAACTCAACATGACAAGCACGTTACTGGAGCATTACCTACCCTCGGTGACACAGCTGCAGAAGCCACACTGGAAACGACGACCACCTTCGATAAACTGCATGTACGGGCACATATAGGCCTTACAGCGATTACAGCGGATGGGACCACTTTCTCCATGATCCAGGAGATATGGCGGTGTCTGCCAGTAAAAAGGAATGACATGCCATTACCCACATACCCTTTTGTATTAATTTTAAAGGAAAACGACAACATGCAGTAGTACACACTCCTAGAATGTGGCCTTTTACCTCAACTAGAGGCAGAGGGGCCAGGGGATTAATGACAGCAGCCAGGGGAACCTGGGACTGTTTTGCCATGTCGGAATTGCAGGGAATGTTGTAGGCTGTACAACGGATGTAGCGTGGACTCGCATTCCCTTTGGAGAGATTAATATAATGCATATTATATTAAGACCTATAACATCATGGAATAAAGCCTACCGTTTTACATAAAATAAAAAATAGCATGCACTATACATATAGCAAGGCAATTTTCCATTCCAAACAATGTCTAAAAGTATTTTAATCTCTATTCTTACCTTGATCTTTAACTTGGAATTTGGTGGTGACAAGAGGTGGGGCTTGACCTCTGACCCCTGTAGTAAAAGGTTCACTTCCCTTGTTCGCTTTGTCATCCTCGATAACCTGAATCTGAGAGAACAAACACCGGCCTATGAAAGAGTGACACACCTTTATTCATGAACAAACAACACACCTTGACATTTCACCCGATAAACCTCTTTATGCTCGTATAGAACTAATCCAAACAGGATCAGTAAGTTCATAAATTTAGCACCACATCTGATCATCTAAACCAGATTAAAGGAATATTCAGGGTTGAATAAGTTAAGCTTCATCGACAACACCCGATATATGCAGTCCCCATTAGTTTAGCTCGAATACCAAACACTTTCTTACTGAATAGTCCCACAGACTTTCACAACAAGAGCATAAAGTGCTGCAGGTATGAGCCCTAAACCCAGGAAATGAGTTAGCATTTTAAATACATGATTTTGAAGTCAATGTTTTTTAATGGATTTTTGGTTTAATGTCATAAATAAGGTCTTTGGTTAACAAGCTTAATACATTTTCGCATTTTATTCTACAACACAAAATATATGAGTGATATACCCCACTCATGGAGATTATCTTGATGAACAAAACATGAAGAGATCACCAACTTTTGTTGTTCATATAGCAATAGTAAAACTATTAGTATTGGCTTTTATCAAGGGAAGTCTATGGTAATGCTAATATCCAGGTTAGCAATCAACTTTACGCCAACCCTGCAGCTCTATTACTGCCCTCTTGTCATCCCAAAAAATGCCATTGATAGAGCTTGAGTAGCATCTAACCCAGAATATACCTTTAAACGATGGGCCACTATGTTTATATAAGAGATAAGAACACGTCAGTCATGCACACACTGTTACTATATTGCATGCCAGAGTGAAGATACGAATGGTTTTGGTGGGCACCAATGACCAGTCTAAAAAAAATAGTCAAATGTGAGTCCGTCATCTAGAATCAAAGAAATTATGACTTAAAGGGACTTCTGTCATCATTGACTCCCTCATGTCGTTACGAACGTGAATGATTTTTCTTCTCCGTGGAAAACAAAAGATATTTTGAAGAAAGTTGGGAACCTTCCATTAGACAAAAATATTTTGTATGTTCCACAAAAGATAGAAAGTCATAGTTTTGGAACAATATGAAAAAACAACAACAGAATTTTCATTTTTGGGTGGACTAACATAAGAATTCATGTTATACAGATTTGTCCATCTCATTAAGGAAGTTGTCTGCTACACAAAAGCTATGTCAGCTCTATAAGAAGAAGAAATAAAATATTGTTCATCTATTCTAGACAGAGTCATTGGCATCCCCATGTGTAAAAAACAGAGAAATCGGGATACAGCATAACAACACAGAACGGCAGAGAGACACGAGGCACTTACTGGACTTGGGATTGCGTCTGGGTCTATTCTATGTCTTGTTTTCTGCACAGGCGGCATGTCAGAGGCTTGCTTTACATTTTAACAATTTAGCCAGCAAATTATAAGAGAGGAGAGGGATAGAGAGAGAAGCCAAAACAAAAGAAAAAAAAGAGAGAAAGAGCAGAGTAGATAAACAGAAGTGTAACCACAGTTACAGTTCCTCTGTTTTTTTTTTCCCAAGCCTAGAATTATTGATGATTAATCACACTGTTTAGCAGACAGTGTAAGAGACGTGTGCAGTTATTGTGAGGCGGCACGTGCAGAGTTTCCAAGCCTTGAAAAATCGATGAATCTGGATTTTATTGTTACTAATAGCCGCCATAATGCATGCACATCAGACACAGGAGACTCCAGAGCGAAGCCTTTCTTAACACAAGCACATCACGCACCTATTTACATAGATATTTATTTTACAAATTGATAGTGTACATCTGTGTGTGTGAGTGTATATGCAAATGCATTAGTACTGAAAATGATGGATAAATATATTAAAACAAACACACTTGAAAAATCAACACAATAGATGTGTGGGAGAAGGTATGGTGGACAGCGACCTTGTGTGCATGTCCATGTCAGATGTGGAGTGTTCATACCGGGCTTGGAATAGAATCAGGATCAAGCCTCTTTGGGGCAGCTGGCGCTAGAGCAGGTGCAGCAGGTGGTGCTCCATAGTTTGGCTGCCCAGGATATGGTCCCGTGTAACCAGGCTGAGGACCTCTGACCTGCCCGAAAGCACCTGGTAGGGAAATAATATATAATAAGCAAATCAATTCACAAAGACTTGTGAATGAATTAGCCCTGTTAAATGGTTAGTTCGCCTAAAAATGTGTACTTGTTCTAAACCCATGTAGCTTTCTTAAAAACACTGAAATAAATGGAAACTATTTTTAATAATATTAGCTATAATTAACAGTAACAACACTGGTGCTCACCATTTTGCTGAGGATATCCCTGCATTCCTGGCTGTGGTGGTGGCCCTGACAGGGAAGTGTTGATAGGACCAGGTGGCATGCCAGGTTGTGTAGGGAGTATATGATTAGCCTGTGCCATTGGAGGCCCTTGTGATGCCATAGGAGGCCCTTGAGATGTCATAGGAGGCCCCTGTGATGCCATAGAAGGCCCCTGTGAAGCCATAGGAGGGCCCTGCATTCCAGCAAGGGGAGGCCTTGGTGGAGGACCAACTTGTGGTGGAAAACCAGTAGAGGTTGGAGGGGGACCTGAGTGGTAAGGTGAGGGTTGGGAAACTGGCAGTTGGGGCTGCATGACTCCTGGGAGCTGAGATGGAGTCGAGGTGGGAGGTGGACCTGCAGGGAATGCAGAGGGCTGGGAGGTGGGAAGCGGTGGTCTTGGGAAAGAGGGCTGCGTTGAAGGAAGTGGGCCTCTGTATAACTGGGTGGGACCTGGAGGTACCTGGGCTGTGGAAAAAGGAGGCTGAGAGACAGGTGGAGCTTGAGGGAAGGACTGTGGAGAAACCGGTGGTGGAGCTTGGGGCTGAGTGGGGCCAGTGGAGGAGAAAGGTGGGACAGCATTTGGGAAAGGCTGCTGGGCAGGTGGCATAGTTCTGTAGTATGACTGAAGAGGAGCCTGAGCTACAGCTTCAGTAGGTGGAGGCTGTGAGTGAGCAGTGGAAGCGGGTGGGAAAGTAGGTGGAGCTGCAGCCTGGGACACAAAGGGATGGGCTAGAAAAAAGAAAGAACAAATTGTCAATCACAGCGATGCTCTAGATATTTTTATGATGTTAACATTTTCAAAGACTTATTTACCATAGCTTGGGCCTGCAGGGGATGGTGCAGTGGAGCCAACCTGCATGCTAGCCATCTGATTGGTCATCTGCTGCATGCTGACAGGTGGAGCTCCAAACTGCTGGCCGTATGGGGGTTGAGGACCAGGCAGATTCACTGCACCTGGAGTGTAAGTTTGAGACACTGGAGGCCTAAACAAGCAATTAAAATAAGATCAAAGTAAGAAACATGACAATGCTGCGAAACCATGAAAATAAGACTTAATTTGCATTCATTAAATGGAAATGATTTATAACCCATTTATGTAATATCAGCCACAAAACTTAAGAGGCAACACATAGGCTAAATTACTAATAGATTGATAGAAAAGACACAGTTATGTGCTGATATTATGGGTCACTGACCTCTGTGGTGGAGCACCCATTGGTGGTGGTCCATTCTGAGTTTCTCCTTGCCCAAACTGAGAATAGTTCTGGGCACCCGAGACAGGTGGTGCCCCAGAGGTGGGGGGTCCTCTCATACCTTTAGCAGGACCAGCAATAAATAATTAAATAGTTTATTATCCCAACAACACACATTTTATTTCCAACTTTTATGATTAACCTTGAGCAACAATTTAAGCAAATGATGCAGCCTAGAATATGGAGACTTGTTTGTTGGTCCTTTTCTTTATTTTTTCTACTTATGACAGTATTAAGAAGAATAAACAGCTGTAAAAATGTGGGACCTATGCTGAATAGAAGGGAAGGAAAAATATTATAGGCCGGAAGAGTCCTCCTTACAGCATTTTTTTCTTCATGACAATGGGATTATTTTGCTGTTGAGAAAAAAAATGACTTTTAGGGATTATTATAATTGTAGACACATTTCTGATGGTAAATATTCTATAGTGAATGGTTTGTACAGATTCTTATAGATCAAGATGAACCACGTATAAAGTTGTAGTTCCTTATGTCAAGCCAACTGTGTGCATAACTCTGTATCGACTCAAAGCCAATTTTATTTACATTTGGCACTAAGCCAGTGTCAAATTTGTAGGGCGTTATTTTAATGACAAATGTCGAGAGCGCATTATTGTAGCGCGAAAGCACATAAATATAATGCGCAAATCTCTGCACTTGCACGCGGAAAACCGGGCACGAGCTCTCGGAAATATGCTGCTCTCGCTCAGAGTTCGCGCACTTAAAACGTGTCTCTACTCACCCTCAAACTGTGTCCTGCGCACTCACAAATCTCTCTATGCTCATGCGCTAGATATTAAATTCTTTTCACACCTGAATTAAACGTTGTCAAAACTTAACCAATCAGATGTCAAAGATGGATCTGTAATTTCTTTACAATTGAATACTACTCAACTACTAATCAAATATTAGAAATCAATTGGGTGCTTGGATGATTTGGAAATAACCTAGTTTAACAGTTTGGTCAAACCTCTCTACACGATTTATCTAAACAAACAAAAAAGCATATGAAGTTCTTGTGGTCATATGTATTGTGTACTTGGATTGATACGCAATACTTAATACTTAATACCAATACTTAAGATTTGGAGGCCAAATATAACACTATAATGAATTTCTCATATTTGTCATACACTATATTCTATGTGTTTAATGCATTTACAGTCAATGTAATTACATGTAACTGTCATATAACTGTATATTCACTGTTTTAGAGGAGAGTGCCTAACTAAAATCAGAACTGAAAACAAACATTGGATTAAAAAAAAAAACTCCCAATAAATGTCCAAACAGCGATGCAATCAGAACATTTATTGTTAACATATCTTGCATCATTTACATCTATTTTTCCAGTTGATGTTGAATTGATAGGAATTGTTACTTATTATTGCCATCATACCAACTGATAATTTATTGCAATAATTTTAAATTCAGTTGAGGTATCTGACATATTATGACATAACATTGATCTTTTATATGAAGTCTTTAGCCATATAGACTATAATATGTTGTTTTTAGATCAACTGCTCAGAGACCAACCAGGACAGAGGTTATATGTACAAATCATCCAAGCACCCAATTCCTAGCCATTTCTAATATAGGCTACATTTCATTACCATTGCTAAATATTATTAAACTGGAAAGAAATTAAAGATCCATCTTTGATTGTCAAAAGAATTCCAGGTTCACTTCCCTCCCAGCCAATTAGATTTCACGCACTTTCATCGGTCAGTCGTTGAGGTCTGATTGGTTAAAGCTTTATTTATATAGAACCTTTTAAAACAGTGTTTACAAAGTACTTTACAGAGAAATGCATATGTGCATTCACAGAAAAGAACAACATGCAAAATGCAGTAAAAGAGATAAAGTGGGCCTAGTAAAACAATGTACAATAACCAGTTTACACAGTTTAAATACAACAATAAAAAAATAAAGGAAAGGCCCTGAACAAATCTGTTTTGAGACTACTTTTTAAAAGTGCATAATAACTTTTGATAACGTTTAATTCAGGTGCGAAAATAATTAATATCTAGCGCATGAGCATGAAGAAATTTGTGAGAGACACATTCTAAGTGTGCGCACTCTCTGAGTGAGAGCAGCGTATATCGGAGCGTGCGCGCCCGGTTTTGTGCGAGAGCAAAGGAAATCCACGTAAGAGCGGAGATTATATTTGTGCTTTCGCGCTACAATAATGCGCCCTCGACATTTGTCATTAAAATAACGCCCTAATTTGGACCCTGTATACAAGTATTACAAACACACAAGAGTAGTCAAACAACTCCCTTGATTTACATGTGAGGGAAATAAAGATTACTCGATTATGAAAGAATGATTAAAATACTATTGTTCAATTGTATACTAAGAGTATTGAGGAAAGAGAAAATGGGGGAAAGAGTCTAATTGTGCAAAGATCATCAGGCAAGGAGCATGACCGTTTTTCCCTGTGTGCCTGTCCACAGCTGAGTTTTGACTGCATCCTGTGGTTTGATTGCCCAGCCATCCCGCACACTGCAGTCAATAATGAAATGCAGGGAATACGGAAGAGGACAAGCTGCTAAGCAGAATTAAACCAGTTACCTAGGTCAAGAGGAGAGGACAGGTCAGAGACTAAGTTTGTTGCGAGAGTCTTAGAGGGAAAGCTTGCATAAGGAGAATATCCTGCAATACAAGAAAGAGAGAGCAGTGAAAAATGGGAATGAAATGTGAAAACAGGAGATGATAGGTAAAAAGAGGAGGCTGGGAGGGAGAAATCAGACTTCGCTTGCACTCCGAAAAAGATCTTACAGACTGAACTTAAGCTCATATTAAAGTTAAAGTTTATCCATTTAGCAGACGCTTTTATCCAAAGCGACTTACAGTGCATTCAGGCTATACATTTTTTACCAGTATTTATTATATTATTAATATTATTATACATTAAATGATAATAACCTGTCATAAACACATTTCCTTAACCAGTCACAATCATTTTGTACTTTCACCCCGCTTACCTTGCGGTGGACCTTGTTGGTAGGCAGAGCCCGGCCCATTATAAGGTGCATACTGAGCCGGATATCCCGATGGCACGTGGCCACCCCCATATCCTGGCTGGGGGTAGCCCTGATACCCAGGCTGAGGCTGCCCATAAGGAGAGGCCATGTGAGGTTGCTGGTTGACATTCATTCTCAGTTCATCCCTAACTCTGAAGACAGGGCAGAAACAGAGGAAAAAAGGATAAAGAGAGAGTGAGGGAGTAAATCTATATTTATGAGGTAATGCAGTGAGAAGAGCTTAAGAGGTCTTGTTAGTCTTTCTGATGCTTTCAGGGGTCTAAAGACATGTGCCGCTGGGCTGCTGGCACAGCAAAACTCCCGACTAATCATTTAAGCTCAGGCCAGAGCAGCAAATGTTGACATAAAAGAGAAATTTGCAGAAAAGCGGTTTCACCCTTCAAGCTGGAAAAACGTTGGGGTTTTTAAAAGCAAAAAACACACAGAAGTTGATGAGTAAACAAATAACAGGAAAATGTCACATAAATTTTTGGAATCAGAATCAAAATTATTCATTCATTATTGCAAAACATATTTGTGACCCTGGACTTATTGGGCCTAGTGGTAAATGTACATCTCATCTACACATCAAATCATAAATAAAGCCCCTTAAAGTAATATTCACAACTTGCACAGTGTGACATTTCTTACTAAAACTGTATTTAGAGGGGGAAAAAAAAGTTACAATGGGATTTGATTCATCTAAAAGAAACTGATTGGATCATAAAAAATATGCACTGAAGACCAGAATAGAGTTAGAAGTGAATAAAAGTTTGCAGTGGATCATGAAGGTCTAGGAGGAGGTCAAGTTCACCCTATACATAATCTCGGCATCATAATTTAATAAATTAATGTTAATAGGAGCACACACAAAAATTGGTGTAGAAACAAATTTTACTTAGACATTGTTAGTAAATTTCACAATTAATACATTGAATTAAACATGAATTTTGAATGAAAAGACTGAAATAGTATTTTCTTGTAAAAATGTACTCCAATAATCTTTATTTACAACTTTGAAAAATCTTTTTTACAGTGCATGAAACTGCTGAATTAACTATTGGCAGGAGTTTAGAAAGGCAGTACCTACAATACTCCAAAATGACCTAAAATTATGCCAAAACAGCTATTTGGTTATTAATAAGTATTAAACAAAAGCCTGCAAGGCCTAGTAAGTATCGTCAGCCAAAAATTGCCAAAAGCCAAAAGTTGTTTCACAATCGAGCAAGATATTACATGGTGATGAATAAAAGTTGGTCTTTGGAGTCATTCATTGGAGGCTCGGAATATGCACTGAGAAAGTAAAAAGATCAATTTTTCATGTCAACTTTAAACTATGAAATTTTGAAGTATGATCTTCATTTCCAACCTGAAATTTCAGGCCTGTATAGGTTTAATACTATTTAAAGTAAATTATGATGATACTCAAATACATAACTTTCATTCAAAGAAAGCACACCCTAATAACATTCACAGCACATAACAGACGTCTGACGTATTTTGTGTTCCACACCCACCCCAAACATCTGAGACTCTTCAACTCGTTAGTTCAACAATTTACTAGAGTAACTCCTGAAGCTGCTTATATAACAGTGTTTAATAGTGTCTCCCACATATCAATTTCACAAACATCAATGAAACAGAAGCTGACTGGAGCAAACTCAAATGACACAATTACTGCCAGCACATTTGCTTTCTTAATAGAGGTTACGAAAACCCACAAAATACAGATAGAAAAGTAGTTTTAACAGCAATTATAAAATATCTACATGTATATTTTTTAATAAATCAGCTTTTAAAACTACTCCTCCTCATTTCTAGCAAGTAGAATAGCAAAGTAGCATTAGCACAACGCAGCCTTGAATAATGTTGAATAATTCAAGGCAATGGATAACGTAATAGTATACAGCATCACATGTGCGAGGACTTACAGAGATAAACGTGCTTATTTTCCATCTATCTGTCTGAAATGACAGGCCTGCTGGATGACCTGAATATACACAGAGGGAAACTCAAGTCTGAGACTCAAACTGGAGTCACAAGTCTCCTGATCAAGCAACTGGTTTCCTGCCATAAGGCTTAAAGACAGTGATGATCACACAAGCAAGTGCCACTAAAAACTGCTTGTCCATCTGTGGATTTTACCACAAAGTTTGCTAGAAAAGCAGCAGCCTTTAAAAATGTAATGAAAGTAGATTTACATTTAACAAGCCGTCATATATAGGGGGCGTGGTTTAAAAAGAAAACATATGGCAGATAGTTACACATTAATTTACTATGGTGAACACAAGAGAAATTCTCTTTTTAATTAATATTCACAGAAACTTGCATTAAAGTTGTTTAGTGTTGATTTTTAGGTAAACAACCTTTTTTTGCCAACTTGAAAAAAAGAAAATTAGTATTTCACACCACCCAGTGTCATGCTTTCACTTTCATACATACAAATTTATAAAATAGAAGCAATTGAGAGGGACATTAAACTGGTAAAACAATAAAACAACAACAAACTAAAAATAAATTAAGATGATGACATTAAAGGGGTAATATGATGCTGCTAAAAACAACATTTTGTGTATTTGGTGTAATGAAATGTGTTTATGCGGTTTAAGGTAAAAAAAAAAAAACATTATTTTCCACATACTGTACATTATTGTTACTCCTCTATGCCCCGCCTTTCTGAAATGCGTCGATTTTTACAAAGCTCATCGTTCTGAAAAGCGAGGTGTGCTGTGATTGGCCAGCTATCCAGAGCGTTGTGATTGGTCGAATACCTCAAGCGTGTGACAGAAAAGTTACGCCCCTTACCATTTTGTGATTCCCTGTCCAGCCGGAGCTACGAGACATAAACATAAAAAAACCCCATTATAAACTAGGCATTTGTTGCATCCAGTGGGGACAGAATTATGGATTATAATGGCTTATACTGTCTTTTTACGTGTTGCGTTGCATCGTGCCGCGTAAACATAAAACCATGTCTGCATTTGTGATCAGATAAATGACAAACAACAAGTGCTACTCTACACTGCCCAAAACTCGCGTTTGAATCATCAGTGGTGAATTCTTTAAATATAAAAAACGTACTTGCATTCTGTGAGTCAGAACAGACAGCATTGTAGTCTACTCTACCAGGATCAGGAAACAGTCCTCCATAAAATGTGCTGCACACATCTGAATATTTGGGTTGAAGTGTTCTGGAACCGTGTTGTAAATACAACTTAACCACTGATTTCTAGCCGTGTCCTCTTTTGGAAGATCAAACAAAGTAGTTTCGCTTTCTCAACGAAACAGCGTCACACACCGCGGACTAGAGTGAGCGGAGGCCTAGAGTGAGCCGGCGGCTTCCCACATAGTGACGTAGACATGTGGGGGCGTGTTAGAAGGAGGTAGGAGTGGTTGACTCTTAACTTCTATAAAGAATATCTCTTTGGATTTGAGACTTTAGTCTTTGCAACTTTACAGATCTTCTTTATACACCAAGAGCTTGTAACACTCCAAGGAGAAAGGAAAAATTTAAATCGCATCATATGACCCCTTTCAGACACTCGAAGTTGAAATGTCAATCAAGAAGTTGAGAAACAAAATCATAACAGTCAAGCAGATGCATTGCAGCAACGACACATCTGCTATTAAAACTGAATAATATACTACCGAGTCATTAAGTTATACCACACATTAGGCTTTAATAACTGACTTCATGTTTAAAATCGCCGAGTGGCGTATGAGGACATTAAATCCACTCACTCTCAAACCTCTTGCTAAGCTAATTTGGGATGTTTATCGTTTCTGGATATCAAAACAGTATCATGAAATGTCCCACTGGGTCTGCCAACACACATCTCACCTTAATAAGCCTTTATATCGTATGAATTACAGCAACATGTGTCACTTTAATGTATTAAATATGAAATTTAAACTCCTAAATGACTCAACGCTGCGGCTCGCGCTGAACGTGCTAAGCTAAGCTAACAGTGACAGGAAAATATATAACCACATAAAAAAACAAATATCAAGCGCCAATTGACAGCTCACCTCATAAACAGCTCGATGAGTTAACGAACGGTTTGTCAGGACGCCGTTCCGGTTCTAAATGCCGGTAAACGCGATAGGGCTGCCGTTCTTTCACGGAAAGAGAGCAGCGAGACGGACGTTAATCCCTTCCTCACCCGCACCGGAAGAACTGAGAATGTATGCCACGTCCACATCCGGTCATGATGAAATAGTAGTTGACGATGGAAGACTTTCACTTTTTGGAAAAATAAAACGGTGGCCTACAATAAGTTTTTTTAGAGAGTTATCAGTATCTTAATTGCTATCTGACCTGAAAGAACAGCTTAGTAAATTAGTCTGTAAAAAAGAGAAAGCTTTAGTGGATGTATTAGCATACGTTTATTTTGCACTAAATCTAACCATTAAAGATATTTGGAATATTTGCCGCTTACCAAGACTTTTTTATATTAAGCAAACCAATCTACCTTTGGAACACCTTTAATAATTTTACAATTTCTAAATTTTCAGAATATTGTAATAATAATAATAATAATGATTTATAACAATACAATTTATTGTTTATTATTATTCCTCAGTGTAGGTATATGGGGAAAACAAGTGGTTTCCAAATGACTTTTATTTTGAAGTACAGAACTTCAGGTATGTTAAAAATATAGTAACATATGGAAATAATGACCAAGGACGGAGATATGTGTTTAATTTTCTAAGGAGGACTGGACTGGAAGGACGAATTTAATTAAGATATAGTTAAAGTGAGACAGCAGATGGCAGTAATGCAACACTATGGATGCCAACTGCCGTAAAACTCCAACGAAGAAGAAGAACTTCCGGTAGGTAGGGTTGCTTGCTGTTTTCTTCCACATCGCTTAGACATCAGTGGTTCTGTTATGGACTGACAGATACGCGGCCTGTGGAATTAACATTTTCTCAATCTTAGAAACACCACCCCTGTCTGGACAGATAGTGGCGGGGATGCGGCATCGACATGGGAAATCTTTTCGGGAAAAAGAAAGCAACTCGGGTGACCGAGCAGGACAAAGCTGTGCTGGTGTGTTAGACAGCTGCTAACTGGCTAATCATTCTAATGAGAGAAGTTACTATATATATATATATATATATATATACTGTTACATTGTTAGACAACTGACTTTGACCAATGAACAAGGGAATGTATGTTAAAGACAGAAACTGAGCTTCCTAAAAACAGTAAATGGAAGATATCCTACATAATATTATACATACATATTATGTTTTAAATCCTTCTTTTTTTTTACTTTAAAGTCTATATTGAAATATGGAACAGTTTCTCACGTCATCTCATTTGAATTAAATTACAATTTCCTTCCCTCATCCCACATTTAAAGTGAGTTTTCCATGTTTTCACACTGAAAGCTTCTCTTAATCACATCCAGCTGTTCTAAAGAGATGCTGGATTTAGGTGTCTGTATTGATCTCTGTTTTGCTTTGTTGCTTTTTATTTACCCTTTACATTTGGTCTTGATAGATTCAGTAGATAAGACCTCCACTGTGATGCGAAATCAATCGATGTGGCCTCTAGACGGAAGCATCTCTAATGTTTTACACATTTGCCAGGAACCTCTATGAGTTGTATATGTGCAGCTGGCTGAAAAAGAAACAAAGAAAGGAAATTGTCCATTGTATTGGATTTCTTGACCTTTGCAATCAAGGAGCACACAAACCATTAAATACAGTTTACTCTCTCGCTTGACCTTTAAAACAGGGGTGCTCAGTCCTGCTCTTCTGGATCTACCTTCCTGCGGAGATCAGCTCTAGTTGTAATCAACACAATCTTAAATAATCAAGGTTTTGGGGTTCATTTGAAAATGACGTGCAGGTGTGCTGGAACAAAGTTTAAAAGACTTATCATTCAGAAAATATTGTCGATAACTGTATTGACACTAGGCTATCGGATGAGATTAATTGAGCTGAATAATGCTGCTATTGTCTCCTTGCTGAAATTAAAGTTGTTTCAGAATTGATTAAATTTCCAACATTGACACTGTTATTTTCCTGTTCATTACTATGAAGCTGCTTTGAAACAATCTGTGTTGTATAAAGTGCTATATAAATATGTGACTTTGTATTATGTTCGATTTCTGGGTACGATTTTGATGGAGCGGGTCAAATTGACCCTAACTGCATTCAATGCAATTCCCTAAATATCATATTATTAAAAACGAGAAGGAATCAGGTATGAACGGAACAATTTTAATATCAGTATTTGTCACACAGTACAAACAATTATCAAATATATCATTTATCATTTATTATCAATAATATCAAAAAGTATGATTTTTAAAAATGTGTTTAACCACATTTTTTAACTCCTTAACTCTTACCGTTCCGCTGGCAGAAGTTTACTTCTATATTACTATATTCTATAATACTATATTACAGTTAAATCCTAATCTAATCATGACAACCTATATATCGTTGGAAAGGTCTAAGACTCCTAAATAGATATTTTACCACAGTTGTTTGTTACAAATTATGTAGTAACAGTAATAGAATAATTTATGACAAGAGTGCACCTCAAAACATATACATCATAATAGGAGTTCTGACCTTTGTCACAAAAAATATTTTTCCCTATCACGTTTTAGTAATCACTTTAAAATGTTTTAAAGTAGGGTCAGTTGTAAATGAGAAAAAGTCACAAAATATCAAGAATAAAATCACAGGTTAACTGGTATTTCCGACAGCTCAAAAATCAAAATGGGTCAAATTGACCCAGAACATAATACAAGGGTTAAATAATATGACCAAATTTTGAATAAATATTCTTGTACACTCACAGTATTCAGTGGGCGATACGTTTTGTGGTCGATCAGTGTGGGTTTTTCAATGGTAGAGTCGTATATGATTACATTGTCTGCCCTCAATCCTGTGTATATGATAGTACAGTGAGGGAGAGTGCAGCAGGGGAACTGTGTGTTGGTGGTGTGGGTAGGAGCTGCTGAGAGATAGGCTACATAAAGGAATCCCTGCCTACATCACAGTCAGGCACAGACCCACGCATGAATTGCGCAGTGCCCACTGCTGTACTCATCTCATCTGATCCTCCTCCAGTCCTTGGGTGATACACGCTTAAAAATAAAGGTGCTTCACGATGCCATAGAAGAACCTTTTTGTCTAAATGATTCCATAAAGAACCTTTAACATCAGGAGAACCTTTCTGTTTCACAAAAGGTTCTTTGTGGCGAAAAAAGGTTCTTGAGATTATAAAAAGGTAATAAAGAGATGGTTCTTTAAAGAACCTTTGACTGAATGGTTCTTTGTGGAACTAAAAATGGTTCTTCTATGGCATCGTGAAGCACCTTTATTTTTAAGAGTGTAGTTGCACTAAGAGTGATGTAGTGATGATGATGCTGGGAATACAACCATAAAGCAATGTTTCTCAAAACAACAAAAGACATCATCTATCCTTTGATTTACATATAGATTTGTAATTGTTTTACACAAAAAAATGTCTCTAATAAGTCGTTTATAAAATATTAAGAAATTAATAGATGAGTAAATTGTCTTTTCTTATAATTTCGTTTTAACATCCTCTCCTTTCAATTTAAGTTTTTTGTATGGCGTTTTCACGATACGTATTATTCCACAGATAAATATTAACTATTAAATATGATTAATTCGCACTTTCTAGTAATAATGAATCTTTTAAGTGAAACTTTTGTTGTTCAGTGAAGTCACACCTTTTTTGCGTGAACAAATAGCATTCGAGTACAAGTTGTAAAGGAGAATTTCATTGGTTGAACCTACAATTTCACTGAACTAGTCACTGTTTTGAGCCTGAACGAAACTCATTTGTGAAAGAACTGAATGTATCTTGTGTCTGGTTTGTGAGCGAGGGTTAATCTGCCGTCAGATTGAAAAAATAATGTTTTCCGTTCAGTTCGTCAAGTGAGTCATTTACAGTAATGAATAAAATAATTGTGTGTGAATAAAAATATGAATGAAATCATGACTGTACACAATTTAAATGACATAAAAATCAAATTTAATTTTAGATTTATAATTACTATTTAATAACTGAATTAAGCTATTACTGTGGATTATTTTCTATAGCTTGTTTAAAGTAATGTCCTCCTGATGAATAAAATTAAGAAAAGATAGGTTTGCTTTGCTCATATATATCAGTAAAACATATGAGTTTTTCAGTAAACTTGTAGACACGAACATTTTAAAGGATAATGACTTGTTTTAGTGAGGGTTAGGGTTTTAAAGGGGTCATATGATGCGATTTCAAGTTTTCCTTTCTCTTTGGAGTGTTACAAGCTGATTGTGCATAGATAAGATCCCTGAAGTTGCAAAGACTAAAGTCTCAAAACCAAAGAGATATTCTTTATCAAAGTTAAGACTCTGACACGCCCCCACATATCTACCTCACTATGTGGAAATATTAGCATAACGCGCCAGAAAGAAGGCGTGGTTTCAGTAACCGCAGTTAGTGTTGATGCAGCATGTCAGGGAGATGCTGTGTGTTTCTTTATTTAGCACTTTATTTAGCCTTCCGAAAGTAGATGCATTTAGGAATCATGTCACAATGCATGTTATATAATTTTGTTATATATTAGAAAATATATGATAATATATATTTTAAAATGCTTTTTAGTGCTTTTTTGGAGTCAAGTTAAACAATGAACTTTAAACTATGACTTTCCATGACAGAGTTGACTGCTTACCATTTAGCCCAAAGTGTATATATATAATATAATATAATGTGTGTGTGTGTGTGTGTATATATATTTATTTTTTCCGAAGTATCAATCATTGGCCAGAATACTTTTGAAGGGTGACGTTTTAATTAATTTTGACCATGTCATTGTTTATTCGTGCATACAAAATGGATGAGCTACAACAGATCAACAATAATTGGCACTGTGAACAAACCAAAAAATTTGTGTTAAAATTTTTTTTTTTTTTGCCACAAATTCATCTGTTACTTAGTAGGAAGTAGTCAAATTTGATAGATGCCATGTTCCACATAAACTGGTCTTAAACCATTTGAACTAGTATTCTTTTTTGCATATTGTTGGGCCTATTGAATTTCAATCTTTTATGTGGTTACTTTTGTATGATAAACAATTTTCGTACTGTATTGGGTTGCTACTTGATGTCCAAAGTAAAAACTAGGTCCTTATACAAATCTAGTTGAGA